TAGGTGAGCTCCATCAACCAATTCGTGTGTTTCTTGTTCCTGTTGGCATTGGGTCCTCAGCGTGTCGAGTAAGTCGCGGGTGGTCTGTCGTTGCTCTGTCGACCTGCTCCCGCTTAACAAGGCATCCAGGGAGAATGTCACCTGGTTGGTACTTTGGTGGAACGAGTGGGTTGTGGGAGTGTCGGGTGGTCGGCGTCGTCGTTGTGGTTTGTACTGGGGCTCTGCGTGGGGGTGGTCCCGTCGGCGGCGGCGGCTGGCGCGGTGTAGGAGTCGCGCTCTGGTTGTATACGAGCTTGGAAATAATCGGCATGGATGAAAAGATGGTGTGTTGGACCCATGGTGTTGACCTTCTGTGCATAAGCTGCAGGTCGGTATTTGCTGGGATCGCACGCGCTGGTCGCCGCGCCTGTTGTGGTCGGACTTCTGGGAAGGCTGCGTGCCAGTCGGGGAAGTAGGTCTGGGCCTAGTTAGTGAGCTGAAGACCAGCATTGCGTAGCCTGTGGTGGTGCTGGAGCAGATGGCGAGAGCTGTGGTCGTCCTCGTAATCGGAGAGGTACTGTCTTGCTTTGATGGCGTCTTGTTCAGATAACTTGTCGAGGTCGTTGACATTGATCAGCATGGTGCCGCCCAGCAGGTTTTCAGCAGGTCTCTTGTATGCTGGTGGTTCCCAATCAGGTAAATGTATGTTTCTCTGGCGATGCATCTCCATCTGGGGCACAATCGACCTGGCGAGCTATGACATACCGCTTGAGGGCCTCCGCGTGGACGTTGGCAACACCCTCGGCTCTTGCTTGGCATGTCTCCGAGGTCGCGGCGATCCCCTGTAGCACCTGAGCTGGGCATTCGACGAGGGCGTTCTCGATGATGGAGAGCCACTTGGGTAAGTCGCGGGTGTGTGCGCTCAGTCTTAGTACCGTCACGCGGTCGATCTAGTTGGTGGGCAATGGTGGCGATCGATATGAGCCTGTCCATGCTGATAAAAGTGCGGTTTCTCGTTGGTGGCATAAATACACAGACTGATACTCGCTGTCCTCGGAGGTCGGTTTCTCCGCGGCGCAATCCACCGATCGCCCGTGGTGCAAGCGATGGCGGCCGACGGGGGGATGTACTTGTCCGTGCATGAACGCAGTGCCCCTCCCCCGCGGGCTTCCACTATGTCTCACGCGTACGCGGCCAGCACTCCCATCTCTGAGGCGGGGTGCAGCGTGCCGTAGATGTCAGTGATTGCCATGATGTACGACTTCTGGGTGTATCTCTCGATGTTGCCGTGGATGGCTTTGCGTTTGGTCCCTTCGAACTTGTCGCGAGTTTCCAGGCCTTTCCTTTTGAGGATGTGTAGTGTCTGGAGGTTCGCGAAGGGCTCTACGTCCCGGTTCTTCCACGGTGGTGCTTGTAGTAGTGGTGGCGCAATGCTTGCCAACCTTTGGATGTCGTGCCGCTCCGAGTTGCGGACGGGGGTCTTCTCGCCACCGAGGGCCATCCTTTGGAGCCGCCATGGCCCCCCAAATAGCCGCCGAATTCCGGAGGAATTGCGCGACAGTTACTCATGTTTTGAAAGGGTGCAGCGCTGGGTGCGCAGGCCAGCCTGCAATGCGCCCTGAAGTATCCACTTTTTAACCAAACATCGCAGCGGCCGTCGCCATCATCACCGCCAAGACATCAAGAGAATCCGCCGACCCCTTGGGGATCATCGGCGTGTGAGATGCTCCCCCCTCCCCAAACCCCTCCCCCGGGAGCCCGGTCCTGTCGATTTGGAGGGGAAGGGGGTACCCCCGACGAGCGACTCACGGGCTCTTCTGGGCCCAAGAAGGCCTACAGATGGGCCAAGAAGGCCCCAAGAGGCCTCCAAGACGGCCCACGAGGGCCCCGAGACGCCAAACCAGCGCTCCAAGACGCCCAAGATGACCCCAAGACGGGCCAAGAGGCCTCGAAGACGGCCCAAGAGGTCCCAAACAACCCTCCCAAGAGGGCCCCGAGAGGCTAAAATTGTTGATTTTCCATTGTGTTTTTCTGTGTTGTTTGTCTTTTCGTCTTTTCGGCTTCCCGACGCTCCAAGACGGCCCAAGAAGCCCCGAAGACAGCCCCAAGACGGCCAGAGAGGCCTACAAGACGGCCCCAAAACGGCCCAAGATGGCCCCAAGACGGCCCAAGAGGTCCCCAAGACGGCCCAAGAAGGCCCCAAGACGGCACCAAGAGGGGCCCAAGAGGGCCACAAAACATTCGAAACCCTCAGGAGCCCCAGAGGGGCCCCAAGAGTGCCCCAAGAGGCCGCCAGAGGCTTCCAAAAGGCCCCCAAGACGCCCCAAGGAACCCCCAAGAAGCCCCCATAGAGGCTCCGAAACGGCCCCAAGACGGCCCAAGAGGTCCCCAAGACGGCCCAAGAGGGCTCCAAGACGGCACCAAGAGGGGCCCACGAGGGCCACGGGATGTGGTCGGGACCCCCCCAGAAACCGCGTCTCGAAACAATCGCGACATCGGACGTCAGAATTCGATGACGTGTTTCGCTTTCCTCGGCCTCTGCGGGGCGGTTCTCGGGCCCCGGGGCCGCCAGAGACGGATCCGCGCAGAAAACTGCACCGGGAAACGCACACGTACACCGCAAAGCCTGCATCTGCAGCCGGACTGCCCAGGGCCCGCCCCGCAAAAAAAAACCGACGCACCCAAACAAAGCACCCCAAGGGGTCGGCGGTGTGGCGTAAGCCAGAGAATCAATGTCACAATCATCGTCGGACTGAGGGCAGGTTAGCCTGCGTCGCCGCCCATCGACTCTGTGCCGCAGCCGAATGCTGCGAGCTCTCAGCGGCATTCGTCGACAGCTGTCAAAAACAAAACCGCCGAAATGGTAATTGAAAGGGCTGCCGGGAGGGCCGCCGAAAGAGCCGCCGAAATCGTCGCCGAAATCGCCGCCGAATGCCGCCGAAATCGCCGCAGAAATCGCCGCCGAAATTGCCGCCAAACTTGCCGCCGAACTTGCCGCCGAACTTACCGCCGAAATTGCCGCCGAAATTGCCGCCGACATAATTGCGCACTCCGCTTAAATAGCCGCAGAAATTCAGCCGCCGAAATCGCCGCCGAAATTCAGCCGCCCTGCCCCAAGCGAAATCACTATTGCATTAAGCACGATGACGCCGCGGACATAGGCATAGAATCAGAGACAAGGTCGAATGCGGCCTCTCTTCGGCGGCGAAATCAGGAATTTCGGCGGAAATTTCGGCGGCCATTTCGGCGGCGATTTCGGCGGCAATTTCGGCGGCGATGTCGGCGGCGATTCCGGTGGCTGTTCCGGCGGCAATTCCGGCTGCCCTGTCGACAGCTCGTTCGGCGGCCGTTTCGGCGGCAATTTCGGTGGCCCTTTCGACGGCTCTTTCGGCAGCCCTTTCGGCGGCATTGATTTTGCCAACTGTGACAACCTGTCATTGTAACCGACACGGTCGCGATATCCGTAACTTTAGGTCGGGCATGTCCCCCTACAGGCGGACCTTGGGCGAATAATAAAAAATGCCAGACTATGATTCTACTATATTTGAATGTTCCTCCTGTAGAGGGACATGCCCGACTTAACAGTAACTCCGTAACTCCCCTCCTCCAGCCCCTGCCCCCCTCGGGCTTCGCCTGACCCGAGTCAGTGCAGACCTGGGTCAGTCAGGCTTTGCAGGGTCCTGCAGGATCCTGCACCCAAGCCCGAGCCACTGCGGCCCTGGCCCTGTCAGGGCCCCGTACACCCAGTTAAGCTAGACCCGGACACCCAACATCCCTGGAAACCTATTTTTCCAAACGGCGGCACGAACAAAATACTGCACTGCAGCATTTTCAGAATAAACCCAGACGCAGGCCTCAACAGCCTGCAAGACCCCCCTAAACCCGGACACAATCCCAAATCCTGCAGTGCAGCAAACAGAAAAAGCACGGGTGCTGAAACACGTAACTTTGCAGGAAAGGAAGTCGTTTCCTTGGTTTTCCATGTCCTGGTTTATCTGTGTCCTGGTCTCCGGGGGCCTGACCCTGCAGGATCCTGCAAGATCCGGAGCTCTGCCTGACCCCCGTTTGCATTGACCCCCGTCTTTTGAGTCTATCCCCCCTGGGCGCGAACTAAATGGGGGGGCGAACAATTGTGTGGGAGGGGGGGGGAGAAAGGTGCCCTTCTCGGGCCAAAGGCCCCCTCTGGGGCCCGAAATAACCCCGTCAGGGGCCTCAAAGGGCTCCTTTTCTGCAGCCTTCGCTGCCCCCTGTGCATCGTCCCCCCATTACGCGTCCTCCCACGCCCTCCACATGTGTGGCCGCCGGCAAGTGAGAGCCTCAGGGTCAGGAGTGGCGGGGGAGGTCTCTCAAGTGGGACGCCCGGACCGCCCAGCCAGGTACAGTCAACCCGTAGCATAAGGATGCGCGCTAAGGATGCAAGGGTACCCTTGGGAAGGTCGCCTATCCTTACTATGCGGGTCGACTGCATAGGCGCCCGATGGGCCGTGGCGCAACATGGAGGGCCGCAGGTGTGGTGTCGTTTTTTTCTGTTGGTCGACACCCTCCACCCAACCCCTCGGGCGCGAATTAGTGGGGGGCGATGAATGTGAGAAGAAGAGAAAGGTGCCATTTCCGAACCCTGACGACCCCCTCTGGGGCCCGAAAGGTCCCCACTAGAGGCCCTGAAGGGCCCCTTTTCTGCAGCCCTCGCTGCCTCCGCCCCCCCCCTCCCCCATTTATCGCCCCACATCAATTCGCGCCCACCCCCCCGACCCAAATCCTCCTCCTCCCTCCCCCTCCCCCTCCCCCTCCTTCTCCTCCTCCTCCTCCTCATCCTCCTCCTCCTCCTATTCCTCCTAATCCTCCTCCTCATCCTCCTGATCCTCCTCCTGATCCTCCTGACCATCCTCCTCCTCCTCCTCCTCCTCCTCCTCATCCTCCTCTTTTTTATCCTCCCCCATCCCTCCCTCCATCTCTCCTACCTTCTCCCACTTGAGCCCCCCACCACCACCACCACCAGGGCCCCCCCCGGGGAGGAGCGC